CATGCACTACATGATTTCAGTACAAATTGGAAAGTGAAATGTATCATTTCGACTTGGTCCTACTTACAATCTAATTGTTACAATTGGAATAGAAAATAATATCATTTCTACTAATGGAAAATTGGAGTGGATGTTTCATCAAATCAATGTTTTTTTTCTTTATTATTAACATACCTATATAATATACATTACCAAGTACATTTTTCTAATACATAGATTAAATTTTAGGAGAATCTGCAATATTAGAGCCAGTTTGGTGTAGTGGTTAAGAAATCAGGCTAGAAAACTGAGATGATGAGTTCTATTCCTGATTTGTATGAAACCAGCTGAGTGAGTTTTAGCCAGTCACTCTTTCAGGAAAGTGACAGTGGTAAACCATTTCTGAAAAACCTTGCCAAAAAAACTTCCCTTTCCCATATTCCTATCATCTTTATTTTCATGTGTATTTTATATTATGATAATTTTAATTAGGTTTTTTAAAAAAAACTGCAGAGGCTTGCTCAAGACTGACTCAAAGAGATATACATGCACTGTGAATATTTTAAATGTATGTCTTTAAAAAAGCCTTTGTTTTGGTGCTTTCATATTGTAAAGCTGAAATTCAGAGTAAATATATTCAGAATCATATATATGTTTTTAGTTTTTGCTTAAGAAAGCATTGTTAACATACAAATCAAAACAGTGAGAAGGATTGGAGCATTAAAATGCTCTTTCAGTGTGCTGAAAGCATTAGTGCCTTCTGTCCTGGAAATATTGTTTTGTGACTGCTTTGAAGCTCTCCTGCATAATATCTAATAAAGTTGAAAATTGATTGCCCTAGAGCAGTGATGATTAATGTTTTCATTGCTGCGTGCCAAAAGCATGCACATGCACCTATAATGCAATGCATGTGTAACCTCTCCCATGCACCCTGCCCCCATGCTTGCATGTATGATCTCCGGCGCTGCCCCGTGCATGTGTGCACGGCCCTCTGCGTGCGCCCTGCCCCTGCATGTGTGATCCGTGCATGCACGTGTGACACCCCATGACCCGCTGTGCATATACCCGGCCCAACACATGCATGCATGCCCCCCCCCATGTGCCCCTTCACACATCTGCGGCAAAGATCCAAAATCCAGCTGGCTGGCAGGAGGTGCGTGCGTATCCATGGTGAAGCTCAGCTGGGGTGATGGCTCACGTGCCCACAGAGGGGGCTCTTTGTGCCACTTGTGGCACATGTATCATAGGTTCGCCATCATTGCCCTAGAGTAAAGGGGTTCATTCTGTAATATGAATGCAATCTAGGGTTTTTTTTCCTCAAAAATCACTAATTATTTCTAGTTTGTAAATTGGAAATGTGGGGAAAAAATCCAGCCTTTTGATGTTTTATATAAAACATAGTTGAATTTGAAAAACAGGGAACTAATCCGAATGAGAGATCCTGAGTTCATTCTGAGAGCAAAATGCATTTTAAAATCCTTTTTCCTGGGGAGGTTTTAGTTGGGATCATTTCTTACTGCCTAAAATTCCATTCCCTGCCTGGTAGCTATAATATAGATAGCTAAAAAAAAGTACAGTTGGAAAGCTGTCCCTGTGAAGTGTTTTGGAATAAAGGGATTGTTTAGGAATGTAAAGGTGTTATTCAACAACTCTCTGGTTTTCTAATGTTTCCTTCAAGCTTCTGTCTTCCTAAATTGACGGTCTCAATGTGTATTTGAAAGAAATGGGTGTGTATGAGAGTGCGGCAGTCTCTCTTACTGTCTAAGAACAAGAAGAATGTGCTGAGCCCTCTGGCAGGGAGCCAGAATTCTCTGTGGAAGTATAAATCGACAGGGGTGGGGTAGGGGGGAGAGATTAATGTCCGCCATCGGCTGTCTTCATTAGTGGGTCCCTTGAGGAAGCCAGGACTACTGTGAGCTGTGAATGAGACCAGCTGGGGAGGGGAAGGATGGGTTCACTGTTTTTATCACCTCCTTTAGTGTCTCCTGAGGAGAAGAGAGAGAATGATAGCGCAGAAGGACACAAAATGAAGGCAGCTGAAGCTTTCTAGTAAAACACATGCTGCCTTCTCATTGGATGAAGAGGTATTTGGCTGTTAGTCTGCTTCTCCAATCAGTACCCAATGAGCTGTTTGGACTACTTGGCATGCTAATTGGGAGAAGAAGAGAGGAAATTGGCCCCGTGGCAGCATGATGCCCTGCCATGCCAAACAAGTGAGAGTAATTCCTCACAGCCCCTTCATTATATGGGTTTTCAGGCTAACCAGAAAGGAATAATTCTTCTCATACTGTTTTTCCTTTGCTTTTTTTCTGTGATCCCAATAATTTTACTTCCAGCCCATCTGAACTCTTTCATACTAAATCTTTGTCTTCCTTAACCCCCCCCCCTTTTTTTAATGCATATAAGTGCCTGATTTTGTATGCATGCAAGTTTGCTTTAGCCCAAGCTGCTCGGTATGGAAATGATTGCATTTTTGAGAGAGAATGCTCCCTCCCCCCCCCTTTTGTCTAAATCTTGAAGAAACATATTTCTTGTACAGCCCTTGACAGATTGAATTGTGATGGAGCTGCTACCGGTACGATCCAGTTAAAGCTAGTTGCTCCTCCCCTCCCTTTTCCTCCTCCCCTCTTTCTACATGCAGTGGAAGGATGCAGATATGACAGCTCTCGATCTTGGAGTTCTTTATCCATAAATACAGGTATGACACTCACTGCCTGTCTGAACTCTGATTTCAGGGGATCACAGAGAGGGAAGTTTGTTGTTTCTTGCCCTTTTTTTTAGTCCATACATGTTTATGGTCGGCCCCAGTGGGATGAATTGAGTGTTTTAATGTAAATGCATTTTATAGCAATGGGACACAGAACTGTTTAAGATATAAACAAAAGCGTGATACACTGGGGCTTTGTATTGTCTGCTTCCGTCTGGTTCAAGGCTAAATACAGTCCATAAATAGACTGAATTGTACATTACAGAGAGACTACAGAATCTGGGCCGAATTCTGAATATTTCTTTCATAATTGCCTGGCACTATTTGTAACTAGGCACTTGAAACAGGTGCTGTTGCTTCCTTGGCTGAAATGACTATCTAGACAGCCAGGAAAATTGAAACTCTTGCTTTAAACATCCGCCTTTTCTCTGTGAAATGAGGCCTAAGTGATTCCTGTCCAGACAACTGATCAGACATTCCTCCCATTCCTGTTCTTTTTCATTCCTGTTTCTCTGTATGTAATTGGAGTCAAAATGAGCATTGGATGCTTAAACAAGATCCAGTTATTTGTCTTCTTTTCCTCTTAGACATGGTCGGAGATTTATGTTTAGAATGGAAGAGTGGTTCCGAAATTTTGCTAGAATTTATGTGGGTAAACAAGACCTTTGTTGTCTTCTTATGTGTCTTCCAAAAGAGATAAGATAGTTCATTTATTTCATAGGGTTTTATATCACTAACATTGTTGCTTTTATAAGTATCCTATATTTCTAAAATGACTTAAAACCTTGCTATCTCTTGTAGTGTACATTGAAACTGAAATTCCTTCAGTACCTCATGCCAAGAAGATGAATATACAGAAATTATGTTTTAATAATAATAATAATAATAATGGTTAGTCAGACATTGATAGTGTAATGTTGTAGGAATAGTTCTTGCTGTTTTATACTTGTAAGCACTATGGCCTTTAAACAATGCATTTACATTACTTACTAAGACACATGTAATATTTATGCATTATTACAGTAACAATATTCAATGTTTCTACAATCCTGTTTGCTTCACATATATTTATAAATTATACAAGATGCTTATAAGGTGGGTGAATATTAATGTCTGCATAGATGGTTCTGGTTGAAATACAGCAATCAAAACAGTTTATAGCTACTAGTTTTAGTTTTATATATTTTTATTGTAACTACTAACATTGCTTCCAGAAAGCAGTTTCTTAATTCTGCCCATGTCACAAGTTAAAGAATATGTTTTGTTACATTAAATAGCCATTGGACAAGTGCTATAGAACTTGAAAAAAAATGAATTATCCCACAAAAAGAAAAAAAGACAGGGAAATCATAGTGTCCAATCCTTTTATAAAAATGAAAGTAATGTTCTATTGTTGTAACAAAGCTCCACCCTTTGTAAGATGTCATGACACGGAAGAGCTTTAGTCATGATGGCACACTATTGAGCTTGATTTATACTAAACATCCATTATAGTTGCCTATGCACATAGTAATGGTATACATCCATTGCATCTATATGGTGAACAATCTTAATAACAAAGCTAGTGAAACAAGAAGTATAATTTTTAAAAGGAAAGGAAAAAACAGCTCTGAAAGGTTTACATCCTGGGTTAGTGCTGTTAGAATTTAGTTATGCACACCGACATAAAATTTTGAAGACTCATTGGGAAATTCTTTATACAAGTCTTCAAAATTGTATATAGGCATGTATGATTTAGCTGCTTTTTAAAGAAATAAATTCTGCTGAGATGTGTGGAACTCCAAAGTAATGCATAGTTGTAATCTCATGGCAACAGCAATGTTCAATAGACTATATTACAGGATTTTAATCATTATAAGATTGCTGGGAAGAATTATACCAGGATGTTAGACAGTTAGAACAATTAATCAGTGGAACGGCTTGCATCCAGAAATTGTGAATGCCCCAACACTTGAAGTCTTTAAGAAGATGTTGGATAGCCATTTGTCTGAAATGGTATAGGGTTTCCTGCCTAGGCAGGGGGTTGGACTAGAAGACCTCCAAGGTCCCTTCCAACTCTGCTATTGTATTATAGAATGGAATAGAATGTAATGGAATTAGGAATACAAATGTATTATGTTGGTAATTCTGGATTGGAAAGGAAAAGTTATTGTTTGAGGATTACAAGTAGCCATTACCCTTATATTCAAACTTTTAAATTCATTTAATATTTCAAAAAAGCAAGTTCTTTTGCAAGGGCTTGGAGGTTAAAGTTTCCTGGGGACCAACCCTTAAAGGCTATAAGTTTCACTGAATACCTTTTCTTCATTTCTAGTTTCAATGCATTCCTGTGCTTCTGTATTTAGAAGTAAATCACATTGAATCATATGAGCCTTATTTCAGGTAAGTATGATTATTGCAGTTTATCCATTTAACTCAGTGGGAAATATTTCTAAATAAACATATATGAACTGCATGTGATTAATAGATAACACTTGGAAATACAACAACTGAGGATGTAAAATCTAGAAATTAGAAAGACTGAAAGAAAAAATTCTGTTTTGCTTTTTTTATAGTCATTAGCTCCATTTTTTGCAGTTCTCCCAAGTGAGCATGGAATAAACCCTCTCCCTAACTTCTGGACTGTTGTCAATAACAAACATTTTTGCTGTGCCTTATTTGCCTATTACTATTTTTTAAAAATTCTAGATATATTCTTGCTGTCTTTTTCATTTTTACTTCACCTCCTTAATCACAAACATTCTCTAAATGTTAAATACTTCCATTCCTCCTATTTCTCTTCACTCTGTTCATTGTAATTTCAGATACCCATGTGCAAAGTAAAGGAAAGAAACAGAAATATTATCATTTTAAAGCAAATTATACATGAGAGAGAATTACAGACAGGCCAATCATCAGCTTGGTAATAGGAGAAAGAGGGAGACTCCATTTCTGAAAATATGCATTATGTGTCTGTCAATTTTGAGTGATCTGTTTATAGTGCTAAACATCATACTTACTTTCCCGACAACAGTGGATCAGAATATTTCCAGCAGCTTTCACTGTTTTTACAGTTTTAGAAACCAGGTGCGGACAGATGTCATAGTAACTTTCAAGATGGCAACTTTCTCCCTCTATCTCTCTGCTAGCTCTGTTGCATTTAAGCCAACAGCATGGTATGAAATCTTTGTACTATAGAAAAGAGGAAACTGCTGTGAAAGAATAACTTAATTGTTTATGGTTTTTCCTCATTTTTAGTTTAAGTAACACAATAGTGACCCAAAACCAAATCTAGGGATAGAAGTGAATGCACATTTCAGCAGACAGCTTTTATGAATCAACTATTTTGTCTACTCTTAGAATATATATCCTACTGCTTTGATCCTATTCCTTGCTCTCTTAGAACTGTTATCTGAATTTGTTGGTTTGCGTTAAAGATTTATGGAAATATGATTCAAAATTACATTGAGTTTCAGATGTTATGCAGGCATGGTTTCCTTAGTTGCAGTAGTTGTTGGTTTACTTATTGTTTTCATTTCTGAAGAAAGTGGACTATATGTTTTTTAAATCTTAAATTGTTCTTTAGCTCTTCATCAGAGTTTTGACCCTACAAATAAATTTTAAAAATGGAAAAAAACCAAGTATAACTAAAAAAACCAACTTGGGAGTATGAACATAACTTTGCTCCTTGTCATATATACAGATTGTTGAAGAGGATAGCTTTTTACTGGAAGAATGGATACTTAAAAAACTCACCTAAGTTCCTGGATTAGAAGCGAAGTAGTCTGGACATTTAATTCCTGAAGAAAGTAAAATTCAATTATTGCTGTGTACCTGCTTCACATTTTATTCAAAAAATGTGATTTGGAGCATGCAGGGGCACAAATGATGTACTGCTCTGAAATTTTAAAATAACCATGTTTTTTTCTGTACTCGCATGGCAGTTTCAGAAGACAGCCATGGAATCTCAGTAAAAGACATGGCTGCTTTAAAGAGCATTGCATTCCTATGTATACCAGAACACCTTTTAAGAATTTAATTTAAAGTGCTGCCCAATCCTATTTCTAGATGTCCAAAATTGAGTTGTACTGCAGGATTGAAAATATAAATATAAAGAGAAAAAGAAACAGCCTCCAAATTTTATTCTTCTGTTGTATTTCTAAGTTTTATTGTTATCAGGCATACTTTGCTTAATATGAGCATTTTGTTTGAAAGAAAGCTTTGTCTTTTTCCTTTTAACACCTGATAAAAGCTACAACATTATTAAAATCTTCCATATTGAGGCAGCCAAACAGTAGCTACACATTCTTTAAGAATGCAGCAAAAATAGTGGCTTGGTGCATCTACCTTCATTGTTATTATGTTTCTATTCCACTGCTTTTACACTGCAGCCTAGGGATCATGTTGATGACTTGTTTTATTACGATGACCTTTTAAGTGAAAATATGAGTACCACATTGGAGCATGTCCCAAAGTTGTGCTTCCTAGTAGACTGTTTGGTCATTGTGCTGCCTTCTCAGCCCATCAATTGCTGCTATAAATTGTACTGGCCTTAGACTTTTAGGGCATCAGAATCAGTTAGAGGTGATACATTATATACATTCATATCTAGGTCCAAACTTTACATACATATCTCTAACCAGTTTCAGAGATAAATTGGTTTTATGACTTTACAGGTCTATCTGGTAATATCTGAAATTGCATTACATTTACATTACATTACATCTTCCATAAACAAGAATCTACTTCTAAGGATTTTCAATAAACTAAAAGCTGCAAAACAAGCCATAAAATCCCAAAGCAAAATGAACTACTAATAAACACAGTTGCTAATTAACCTCGGTAGTAGTGACAAGTCTCAAGTGCCTATTAAAAAAAAACTCTTACACCTTTTCAAAAAGATACCAGGGAATTGCTTTGGCTCTTCTGATTGCTGACTGTTCCATAAAGTGGGAGTTACTATAGACAAAGATTGTTTCAGACATCTACTGATTCAAATCGTGTATTTGGTGGTGATGATGGTCTATGAACGTCCTTCCCAGAAGTTTCATGTTGCAAAATAATGATAGGATTGAATCAAATAGAACCGCGATGCCGAACCATGCCGGAAGTGGCACACAGAGCCATCTCTCCGGGCATGCCAGCCGTCACTCATTGCTCTTCTGGGTTCTAGTGCGCACGTGCATGGGAGCACTGGAAACCAGAAGAGCAGTTCCCTGGCACGCATGCATGCACTGGAAAGCTAAGCTTCCAGTTTCTGGCAAGTGCATACGCACCGGCCAGCTGGTCTTTATTCATGCGCACATCAGAAACCGAAGCTCAGATGCATGCACCAGGGAACTGCTCTTCCGGTTTCCGGCGCTACCACATGCTCACGCCAGGGAGCTGCTCTTCCGGTTTCTGGTGCTATCGCGCCCCTGCATGCTCCTGTTTCGGCACTTGGTGCCAAAAAGTTTCGCCAACACTGATATAGAAGCTGTGGTGAGGCAGAGGTTAGAGTGAGGTATTGCAGGCTGATTCAGCTCACTGCCAAGAGTTTGATCCTTACTGGCTCAGTCTTCCATCCTTCCAAGGTTGGTAAAATGAGGACCCAAGTTGTTGGAGGCAATATGCTGACTCTGTAAACAGCTTAGAAAGTGCTATAAAGCATTATGAAATGGTATATAAGTCTAAGTGCTATTACTATTGCTATATATCACCTGACAAAACAGAGTCCATCAGACTGATCTGCCATTCCCATCACCATCCTGGATTATTCTACCAGGGAAGAAGAATCACTGCAAAATGATTATGCCTGCCCTTAATCTTCATAGACAGTCCAGAAAAATATCATAATTAGTGGTATTGAATGATGCTGCAAGGTCAAAGTCTTGTTTGACCTCGCAGCATCATTCAATACCACTAATTATGATATTTTTCTGACTTTCCCTTACCTAAGTCCTTACTGACATCTATTAGCGCAACCAATGCCATTTCCATTCCCTATTCAGCCATAAACCTCACTTGAAAGGTCAGGCTAACCTGCTAGTTCTAGGTCACTCAGCACCCGAAGCTCTACTTTCTTTTTAATAACCCTCCCTAAAAGGGAAGATTGGAGAGAGTCTGATAATTGTCTAATGGATCTTCCAAAATAACCTAATCTCTTACAAAGATACTCCCAGCCCCTCTCCCAAATATCTCAAGGAGACATAAAGGGGATGTGTGCAAGCCCCAAGTGGTGGAGTACCCTATCTACTTATTTAGGGTCAATATGTTGAAATGAATTCCACATCTTTAAAGGCCATTTCATGTATTATACTATAAGTAATTTCCTGACAGTTAGAACAATTAATCAGTGGAACAGCTTGCCTCCAGAAGTTGTGAATGCCCCACTGGAAGTCTTTAAGAAGATGTTGGATAGCCATTTGTCTGAAACGGTATAGGGTTTCCTGCCTAGGCAGGGGTTTGGACTAGAAGACCTCCAGGTTCCCTTCCAACTCTGCTATTGTATTGTATTGTAAGTACAAGAGACAGGCATGCCATATCTTCAGAAGAATGTGCCATTCTATGCTAAAGTAAAGAAAGCTTGTCCTATATCATCTTAAAACCACTGTCCAATCCTTGATATTGTCATGAAAGGTTTCCCGATAACCATATATGTTAGAATTGCTCAACCATATGTATTAATTACCAAGTTCACAATTAAATAGAACTGGTTAATTACCTGTAACAGTACAGCTTTGAGCAATTGTCTTAGTGACAGATGGAAAGGAATGATGGGAGGAGGAAGTACTTGGCATATTCTAAGATATTTTCCTTCTTTAGAAATGTGGCTGTGATGTATCCTGAAATTACAATAAATTTCATAGCTTAGTTCAAATTAAGCTTGGCCTCTGTCATTTTATAATCTCAAATAATTTATTTTTCACTCTTTAATGTTCTGTGTCCTTAAACTTCCGATTTCAAGAGAACATAAGAATGGTCCTGTTACATTAGCTCAGAATTTTCTCATAACGCTCAGCCAGATGCCTCTCAGGTACGTGCTAACAGGAGATGGACACTTACCCCTTTTATACAGTTTCAACTGGTATTTGGAGATTCAGTATACTTCCCACAACCTCAGGGTAAAACATTGAAGCTTCAAAGCCATTAGTATTGATAGACCTGAATATATCACAAATTAATTACTCACTGTATAGAATAGTACTTTCTTTTATCTATTCTAGCTTTCCAGTCAGCTTTGTTGAATGACCATTGGTGTGTGTTTGTGTGTGTGTGTGTGTGTGTGTGTGTGTGTGTAAGTAAAAGAGAGAGGGAGAGTGAGCAAGCGCTTAACTACTATCATGGCTAATATTGCCATGATAGTGGTTGAAATATTAGCAAGGAGTGGAAAACTTATGGTGTAATGAACAGGGAAGAAAATTCTTGTGAGTGTGCAGGGATAAGGGGTTCCTTAGTTTTCCTTACCTTATCAATCAGGTTAATTGTTTTTTTCCTTTTTCTTTCTTTTACTATTCTGTTGAACCAGAACAGTAATGCTCGGGAGAAAGGAGAACATTTTATTAAAATAGATGACCTGTACATTCTGTTCTAATTTTCTGTTATTCAAGGCTAGAAATGTATTTGAAAAATGAAAGGACAAATTTTCTAGACTTCGATAAATTACTCAGCAA